CTATTATCAAATTTATCAACGTTCTTTCTCCCAATTTAATTAGTGATCGTTTTGTATTAATCTGCTAAGTACAATATTTTAACTTTATATTTATATTATATATATGTACTAAAAAAAATTACAAATCAGATGATAGAGATTTATAATTTTTTTTACGAAGACGATGGTGAATAAGTTAATATAAAAAGAAGATTTTAAAATAACGGTTAATGATTTAAGAAAGTTTAAGCTCATAGTGTTTTATTTAATAAATTAATTTATTGGAAAGATAATACGACAAACAAAAGTACCAAAGCCCTTCTTATCCAACAATATTAAATCTTGTCCTCCTTTTTAACTTCAATGGTTAAAGTTTTGTTTGGGACATAAGATATATAAAATATAATTAGAAGCAGTTTATGAGTAGAGTACTTTAAGGTCGATGGTTAAAGTTTTGTTTGGGACATTAGATAAATATAATTAGAAGCAGTTAAATGAACAGAAAAGATTTTTCCTTCAAAAAACAAAAGTGCTATAAGGTTAATGATTGTTAATGATTGGAGCTATGCTATTTTAGAATAAGTTTATGTATAAACGTTATAAATTTATACCTTACAAACATTGATAAACCGAACATACAGAAGGATGCAGCAACTCCGTAAAAACAAGTGTGTGATTAGTAAAACCTTATAGATTGTCTTGAAAAGACAGACACACTACATATATAGGTGTAACGCGTTTTTCATGCTGTGTGTTTATTAGTATAGAACCCAAATAAATCAGAAATCAGATGTTTGAAATGCCAAATGAAGAGAAACACTACAACTTTGACAATAAAAGACAGCGTAAGCATCAGGATTCAGCTTTGGCAATAAAAGACACACACTCACTACATTCAGTTTTAATTGGCAATAAAAGAAACTACAACATTGCTGACAATATAGAAATCAGAAAAAACTACTCGAAGTGAAAAATTACGCCCCAAATTTTTAGAGATTAATGTATGAAAGGAGAAACGATAAAGAAATCAGAAATAAAGATTAACCCATGTAGTGTGTACAAGATCCTTGATTGCTTTGGGCATAGGACTGTTTGGCAATACACACTTCCGGTAAACATCAGGATTCACAGCATGACTTGCCACCAGCGCTAGCTGTTGGAAGCCACAAATAATTAAATATAAATAAGTAAAATCAGATCCAAAATATCATTTTATACATACACGAACACATTTAATACTTGAGTAAATTACTGAAATCGTCCATGTGGTTTGCTTTTTTTTTGCACTCGGATCGTCCTTGTGGTCCCTAACTTTTTTTTTTTGCACTCGATCGTCCTTGTGGTTTGCTTTTGTTGCGTTTTTCGTCCCTATGGTTTGTTAAAAGTTGCATGTTTGGTCCCTAACTTTATATATGTAAGGGACGAAAAATGCAACAAAATCAAACCACAGGGACGAAAAACGCAACAAAATCAAACCACATGGACGATCTGAGTGAAAAAAAAAGTTAGAAACCAAACGTGCAACTTTGACCAAACCACAAGGACGATTTCAGTAATTTACTCTTAATACTTCAAACCCGACCAGAACTTTTCGGACCAATTGTGGTGCAAGAATACATTAAACATTAAAAAATTTTAAAATAGCCAAAAAAACTAATGATGATGAGAATTTACTTATACAAAAAATGTATAAATGTTAAGTAGATTGAAGATCATCGAAGAAAAATGGAAACCAAAATCAAACTGAATGTGGAAGTTAGCGTTTGATACCGAAATCAAACTGAATGTTGAAGTTAATGTTTATATCGAATGCTAACTTCCACATTCAGTTTGATTTCGGTTTCCGTTTTTCTCCGATGAAGTTCAATCTACTCAACGTTTATACGCTTTTTTCTGTAAGTATATTCTCATCATTATCAAACTTTGATGATGTATGAAGAATGGGTTTAGTGAAGTATTTATAATGGAGTTAATTAATACATAACGCCCCACCCACCAATAAAGACACCCTGATATAATTATGGCCAACTACGGACGGCAAAGATCAAGTATGCCAAACCACATATGTGAGGAAATGGCGGCAATCATATCTATGCTTGAGGGCAATATTTGTTGAAGTTATAAGCTAGACTCGTGACGGTTATGACAGTTATATACGTTGGTTATATTATAAGTTAATTAGTTTTTATTTTATTTATTTATTTATTTATTTTAAACAGCAGATATCATAAAAAGGCTAGTAAGAAGCTAGACAAAATAAAGTACAAGCATTATAAGTTACACGCTTTAAAAAGAGAAATGCACAAATCCAACCAACTAATAAAATTAAAATGTGATGTGCGTTTCATCCAATTAAACGCTTTCAATTGAAAATCATCTGCCGCCTTCATTGGAGAATATCTCATCTTCTTGAAAATCAAAGAGTTCCGAGTTTTCCAAATCACCCAAACCAAAAAGTAAAATAAGGCCAAACCGAGCTTCTTCCACTACAAAAAAATATGTCATTTAGTGGCATACAAAAGTGCCACTAAAACCTTTAAAAAATATCACTAAAGACTTCTTGAAGAATCAGCGTCACAAATAATAAATACCACTAGAAACGCTCCCACTAAAAGGTTTTAGCGGTACTTATAACTTTTGTCGCTGTAGTTTTTAGGTTTTTAGTGACACTTTTATATTTGTCACCGTAGAAAAAAAGTTTTTTGTGGCATATATTTTATGCCATTGAATGCTACTTTTAGTGGCACTTTTTATTAGCCACAATACAAAAAAAAACATTTTGTTGCACATTTTATGTTGGTAAATACTCATGAGATTTTATAGTTTAGGCTACTAATATCTACATAACTTTTATCTAAAATATAAAATAAAATAAATAATTAGATTGTAGCACGCAGAAAATAATAAAGTTTCTATTGTTTTTCATCACTATTTTTAAACCTTTAGAATTATAATTAGTCAAATACTTCTAAATGTGGAACCAAATACATGCTAAACATAAAGTAATGAACAAAAAAAACAAAAAAAGGAAAAACTTTAAACTTAATTGTAGATAGAACTTATTTCCCAATACTAACAATTTCCTGCAAAAAACAAACACAAAAAATTCAAAATACGGTTAAGTAAAACACAATTTAGAAAATAAATAATATATAATTAAATAGAAGTCAATTATGTCTATAATAACTAACATAAGATGAAAGCAAATAAAACTAATTGTCATCGTTATGATGACTTTCAAAAGATGATCTTTGGTTGATTGAGTTAGAGTTGCATGGAACTGTAGAAGTGCTACCTGACACCACCTAAAATAAATTAAAGAAAACATAAGTCACTACAACTACTATTTTAGAAAATTACCAAAATGTCCACCTTACTAAATAATATGTCATTAGTCTTCAACTCTCCATACTTCCTGTTACTCTTGTATAAATGAACCAAAAGAATGCATTTCAAAAAAAAAAAATACATTAAGTACACCAAGAAGATTATTCATAAGGGCAAAAGTGGATATATCAAATAAAATGGTCATTCTTGATGAAAATGTTAGGTCTGATTAGAAATTCTAATATAATGGACAAATTTGCATGTATATGTTTTGCTCACCACACTGTATTTTTGTTAGTTATGTAGCTTTTAAATAGTAAAAGAAAACTTATATACACGTTTGTCCCTTAGTTTAGTTTGTTTTTCATTTTTGGTCCCTAATTTTAGTCATTATTTGAAGTTTTTGTAACACTTTTAGTCCCTACTCCAAGGAAAATGACTCTATTACCCTTTATCTATTTTTTAAATATAAATATATGTTATTTGTTTTAAATTTGTATCATTATTATATTGTATGTTTAATGGGAAAGCGACATGAAAAGGTAGAGAGGAGAGGATGATATAGTCATTTACTTAGAGCAGGAACCAAAACCATTATAAAAACCTCAATAAAGGATCAAAATTGCAAAAAGGAAAATTTAGGGACCACAGATGAAAATAAGATAAACTAAAGGAATAAAATTGTAATTTACTTTAAAAAAAGTAATTTAGTGAAAACTACATACCTGTAATTTACTTTAAAAAAAGTAATTTAATAAATATTTTTACTATTTTCAACTCACATATTTTGCTAATCCAAAGTCTGCAAGCTTCACTTCACCATCCTGTATGCATCAAAAAGCAAATTTGCTCATTTAATATCCCTATATAATAGATCTATATCATACTTGTATATTAATATAGCTACTATTAATCCATTATAATTCCAATTATCAAGAAATATATGTTACGTATGTGAAGGGTGAAGCATAATAATCATCTAAGAAAAATCTTCTTGCTGTGCAAATAAGCCAATCCTAAGAGAATAAGCCAATCCTAAGAGAATACGACGTACGAAATTTCTATCTACAGATTCTGTAGTGATGATAGAATTATATCAATAAATACATTTTAAATATTGGATGGAGCCTATACTAATGAAATTTAAAGAAATTTCAATTTCAGGACCCAAATATTTACAATGTTTGGATGTTCTAAAGTTCATAGAACTCTTATTTCATGAGGTGAATAAAAGTAATAATTTTAAATAAACTTTTCATACTACATTATCTTCAATCATATTCAGTTTCACCCACCTTCATGTATAAATCAAAACAAAGAAATATATTATAATCTTGATAATGAACAAATAATGATAAAACTTGAGCTTAAGAAGAATTACCTGCTCTAATTGGGTCGTCTGGGTTGATGTCAACTTCTTTCATTGCGTAAAATCTTCCGGTCTCATCACTAGAAAGAATTTAAATGTATAAAGCACAGGGCAGAAGATGAGAAGAAGGTATTTTGAGTTCTGTTCGTGGTGATTGTAGATGACATACCAATTGATTGCTTCATATACACTACCATAAGTACCACATCCGAGGAGTTACCTTTTCTGTCATTGTCCTTTTATCGATTGCCTATCTGATTTATCCAAACTTTGGCGACTAGACACTTATCTCGGAGGTGCAGGTGGTCGGGGAAGTGGACGAACATTAGCGTTGTTGCTTTCTGCCCTTGCCATGGAAATTTCCGGCGAAGATTTTTGTTAAGTGAATGAAATGACGGAGAGGTGAAAACTGAAACTCCAAAGGAAATACAAACGCAAAATCAAATATATCGACGTGGCTAAACCTTTTGGGATTGAGTGTATGGCTCGTGGAGGCGGTGGTAGGTGTACTCCTAGCCGGCATATCTAACCTGAAATCACCACCATCTGTTTCTTCGTTTATGCCTTTAGGATAACAATTACGATGATGATAAGTACAAGCTTTAGATGATATTAAGATTCCATGACTGTTGGAATTCATCGGAATCCTATCAGATCTGCAACTATAGTTTCCAGATTTAATTTCACAATACGCATAATCATTTTCTCCTTTATGATTCAAAAATGTCAGAAACTTACTGTTCAACTCCTTTGCTATAAGCTTTGGCCAGAAACCGCAATTCATCATTGGGAATTGTCAATGGTTGGGGTACGACAGACAAATATTAGTGTTGTTGCAACCTGTGTGGAAACTTTGACTTTGAATTGGGGAAAACGGCAACAATTTTGACCTATTACTAGCATAATCTTCCCTCGATGCACAAATGTCCTCCATCGTCAGGTAGCGGAGTTCTGCCTGGTGAGCCTCGTCTTCAACTGCAGAGAAAAAAGCCCTTCATTTATCAACGACCCGTATTACGACGAAGAATATGAACACAGAGACGTCAATGAAAATGCGAGCTCAACGATGTGATAACTTTACTTCAGCATAACATATTTTTGGGAGCATTTACCTTTTTTACCCTAACTTACCAGTTAAATGAAATTGTAACGAGAGAATACTAAACACTGACAATCTAAATGACAAATTACTGGTGGGAAACAACTAGGCAAACAAAAATAATAGCTTAAATGGTTAACTTTAGTGAGATTAAAAATTATTATGTCACTAATATATATGATTTTTAGTGACATAAAATGTTAAGTGCCATTAAATCCATTAATTTTTATAATGACATTTAGAATGTGCCACTAAAAACATAATATAGTGGCACAAAAAAAAATGCCACTAAAACATTATGCCACTAAATATCATTTAGTTTGTAGTGAGAGTTGCAAGAATTTCCAAAATCCGGGTAAAAGCTGCCACTTTCAAAATTCTGCAGATTCCCGTTGCACCAAAAATAATCTAAATTGTGAAACACTCCCCGGTTTGCGAAACTGGGTATAAAGCGTTAAGTTGCATTAACTGTAGGGGCTGAACTTGTAAATTCTTCAATTTCTTAGCATTTTAGTCCAATTTTGAAGTGAGGTATTTTTTGCCAAGTCTTCAAAACTACAGGGACTAAATGAGAAGTTATTCCTTTTTCACAAACTTTTTACACCAATGTTCAAGTTGGACCATTTATGTCAACTCTTTAAAAGACGAGGGAACCCAAACTGAAAATAATTGTTTTCTTCCCCAATCGTTACCCTGTTCGCTTTTCCTCTGTATCCTCAATAACGATGCATGATTGATCAACCCAAAATTCAATTGTAACGACCCAATTTTCATGTCCGAAAATTTCATTTTAAAATATTACTTTAGAAAACATTAATAGATAAAAACATTGTTTGATCACACCATAACACATCGCAAACCATGTTTTAAAAAGTCAAATCATACATCCCATCAAAATATCAAAGTACAATCCCAGTGAATCTCGTAAATGCGGAAACCAGAGTGTGTGCATGATGTGCCGCTACCGCGTCGGCTCCTTCCCCTTCGGTGAAGAGGTACCTGAAAACAAAACTGTAAACGTAAGCACAAAGCTTAGTGAGTTCCCCCAACGTACCACATACCATACAAACACATAACATACGTACTGCCAGGCTATTCTGGGGTGCCTGACTACCCGGTACGGCCATTCTGGGGTGCCGACCTACCCATACGGCCATTCTGGGGTGCCGTCCTACCCGTGTCAAGCCATTCTGGGGTGCTGACTACCCATGTCAAGCCATTCTGGGGTGCTGACTACCCATCGGTCCTAACAACCGATCCTCGGGGACTGGTCCCCTCCTGCTACCTCTATCGCATAACATAACAGGCCAACATACAAACATATCATCACATACTGTCAGACGTTTCTGGGGTATCTGACTACCCTGCGGTCCTAACAACCGAACTCTACTACTATCGCATATAACGTATCATGATAGCATATAACATATAGGTAATAGCAAACCTAGATGATATCACAAAGACAATCATCTATCATACGTCCCTACTGGTGGGCCGGCATTGTGGCCTTAGACCCACCACTACTGGAAGGTAACTCACCTCAAAGTAGCTGCTGAACTGATCGGGAACTAACTGACTGCTGCTGCTCCGGAAATCCTCCGGCTGCAATTCCCACAACATACTCAATCAAACACTGTTAACTGTCCTTTGGTAAAATGACCATTTTACCCCTGGTCTAGCTCTAAGTCAATGTCAGAGTCAACTTTCAGTTGACCCGACTCGCCGAGTCCCTATCAGACGATTGTCCTGAGTCCCTGTTTCTACTCGTCGAGTTAGGCTATGACTCGACGAGTTCATCTTCTAGACTGACGTTCAACCTCTTCATCCTACTCGCCGAGTTGTATGAACAACTCGTCGAGTTCATCTTCATCCGAAGAACACTTATGCTAAGACTCGCCGAGTTGTATGAACAACTCGCCGAGTCTGTTCTTGATCTATGAAGATTGCCTTGGACTCGCCGAGTCAGGGCATTGACTCGCCGAGTCCTATCATGGTGAGTTCAGCTTCCAACTCACCGAGTCACCCCCTGTGACTCACGGCTCAACTCGATACATCATAAAGGGACCAATTCAGTGACTCGCGACCAGACTCGTCGAGTCACATATACGACTCGCCGAGTCGCAGCCATGCATCCATCAAATACACCGATTTGCTCGATTCCAGTCCATGCCATTCACAGATCTGGGCTTCTAGGACACAAATCACACGTAAAGTTTCCAACTTTACGTGTAGATATTCACCAATATGGATTTTAAGGCTCAAAGTGCACCAAAAGAGGTAGATCTAGGGCTTTCATGCAATATGACCCCATAAAGGCATTAGATCCAAGCTCCAGGGACTAAATCATGCCTAGATCTAAAGGCTAACAACTTATTACAACCCACAAAGCACAAACAAGCTTGGGGAAGAGCCAAGAAGGACTCCTATGAAGCTAAAAGAGATTACAAGCTTGAAAACAGAGGGGAAACGAGCTATACCTCAAGGAAAACGTTGAGATGACACAAAGATGCCTGGTCTCCTTCTCCTCTTCTTGATCTACTCTTCTTTCTCCTCAAAATCTTCAAGAACACTCCAAAACACTTCAATCTCTCAAGGAAATAAGGGTATAAACGATGTTGGGAGTTCTGGGGGTGAATGGGGACGAGTTTGGGGCGGAATGAGGGTTTAAATAGGGTGCAAACCCTTGAAATTTAGGGTTTCATCCAGCAGCGGTGACTCGCCGAGTCCAACTTAAACGTGTCCTGAGTCTACTCGGCTCTATGACCGAGTCCAAGGCTAAAAAGGGAAATACTCAAATAAAATTCACATACCGGAAACCAGGTGCTACAAATCTCCCCCACTTATTTTAGACTTCGTCCTCGAAGTCTGCTGCTCGATCCTGAAACAGCTCGGGTAATGCTCCATCATCTCGTCCATCGGCTCCCAAGTCCATTCCGAACCCTTGCGGTGCTGCCATTGCACCTTCACTAGTTCTACCCTCTTGTTCCTCAAAGCCTTTGACTTCCTGTCGAGTATTGCGACTGGCGCTCAATGTAATTCAAGCTGTC